CCTCCTGCCTCAGCCTCCCAAGTCTCTGGGATTACAGGCATGCACCACCATACTCAGCTCTTTTCTTTTTTATGATGTCTTTATCTAGGTTTGCTATAAGTATAATACAGACCTCATAAAATTAGTTCAGAAATATTTCTTCCTTCATTTTTGAACAAATTTGTGAATTATTAGAATTACTTCTTCTTCAAATACTTGATGGAGTTCATTAGTGAAGCCATCTGTGCCTTGGATTTTCTTTGGGAAATTTTAAGGTTGGCCTAAAGCTTCCTCCACACATATTTTAAGTTTGGCTTTAATTTCTCCAAACAGTGAACTGCAACCGAACATGATATGTAAATAGACTGCAACCTACTCTTGTAAAAGTAGACACCTATGGCCAATCACAAACAGCCGACTGTTCAAATCACATTTAAATAAGATAGACTTGAGTTGTGACCAATTAGGCTGTCTCTATACTTTATTTCCATCTTCTATATGTCACTTCCTTTTCTCTGCCTATAAGTATAACCTGCCCATGTGGTAAGGCATTCCAAACTACTTTTGGTCCACACTGCTAGCAGATTCTAGAATTGCAAATAATGCCAATTAAGGTCCACAAAGCTAGATTTGTGATCTTTTTTCTTTTAATAAATAAGGCTTAAATTGTTAATTCAGAGTAGAGGAAAGGGACTGGGGGAGGGAGGAGGGGAGGGAAAGGAAAAATATTGGGGAATGATATTGACTACATTATATTGCTGTATTGTGTGCATGTTTAAATATGTAACAACAAATCCCATCAGTATGTACAATAATACACCAATAAAAAAGGGCAAAAAAATAATAAATTATTAATTCAATATCTTTACTTATTACAGATCTACTCAGATTTTCTACTTTCTGAGGTATTTCTGGTACTTTGTGTCTTCCTAAAGATGTATCTATTTCATCTAAGCTGTTGATTGTGTTGGCGTACAGTTGTTCATAGTATGACCTTATAATCATTAACATTTTTGTTATGTGGGCAGTTGTATCCCCTTGTTTATTCCTCCTTTTGTAATTTGTGTCTTCTCACCTTTTTTCTTGGCTACTCTTGCTTACTTTAACTCACTGGTTTTCATCTGAGATGGATTTGTCCTCTCTGGGACATTTGGTAATGTCTGGGGAATTTTGAGGGCACAGTTGGTGGAGAGTTTTTGGTGCCTAGGTAAAGATCAGGGATACTTCCAAACATACTACTTTACACAAAAGAGAATTCCTCCCACTCCAACAAAATATTATATAGTCAGAAATATCAATAGTGCCAAGATTGAGAAATCCTGGCTAGGAAAATCCTAGTTTGTCAATATGGTTGATCTCCTCAAAGAACCAATATTTATTTGCCTTCATGTATTGTAACAACTCTGGATTCTGAGGGTTGCTACTGTTGCTTGTTTCTATATGCTTCATTTTTAGTTTGTAGGTTTAGCATCTTGCCTGGACTCATCTCTAGAAACTGTTTTCTGTCCCATGTGTCTGCTAATGTCTCTGCTCAGTTTTTACTTTTAACAAACTTCCTATGATTCATCTCTGTGTGTGCAGAATTTAATGGTAAGTTAATGATTGTGAAGATATTGTGCTCAAACACTTCCAGCCAGTGACCCTTCATCCTCATTTCAGTGGATCTGTGTGTTGTTTTTAGAGTGTATCAAGATCAGTCACCTTTTAAGTCACCCCCATCTGTTACTTCCCTAGGGCTTTCTCGCATGTGCTCAGGTTTATGATCAGCCAGAGATGTTTGCATAGCTTGTGCCCATCAGCTTTTCCCTCCCCCCAATCCTCCACATGAATGTTCAGAGTGCTTATCAAGGCCATATATGACTTTCTTGTTGATTGATTTCCTATTACATTTCTGGCTAGTTCAGGGATCTATTGCTTACCCCAACCAGGGCTATAAACTCAGAATAGCTGAGCTATTGGTCTTCTAAAATTCTCTTGTTATTTCTAGTACCTTATTTATTTATTCATTTATTTTAGTTGTAGATGGACACAATACCTTTATTTTATTTTATTTTTATGTGGTGCTGAGGATCGAACCCAGTGCTTCACACAAGCTAGGCAAATGCTCTACCACTGAGCCACAACCCCAACCCTAATCCTAGTAGCTTTTAGTCACTAAACCACATAGGGTTTTTTGACCAGGCAAGCATTTTATTAGCAAAATGTGTAATTTAATATCTTATTTAATATTTATAAAGGTCATTTTATTTTCGTATTGCACTTTTCAGAACCTTTAGAACAATGTTCACTAATAATAGCAACAGTGAGAATCCCCTTTTCTCATTTTAATGAAAATAGTTCCTTCACATCAATATTTAAAAGTGAAATATGTTGTGGCCTTTTAGATATTTAGTAGTATCTGAGAAATCATATTCAAATTAGTTTTTTATTAAATAAAGCTGTAGAATTTTGCCAAAAATTTTGCCAAAAATCCTTTGACTTAGTTTTGTGTGTTCTTCTTCTTCTTCTTCTTCTTCTTTTTTTTTTTTGATGGTGCTGGGGATTGAACCCAGGGCCTTACTCCTTACTTCACCAACTGAGCTATATCCCTAGCCCTGTTCTCAAATATAGTGACAATGTTACCAGATTTCTTATATACATTAATTCTTTAACTCATACCTAGAATAAAACTTACTCTTATTGCAATATTTTTTGATTCACTACTGTTTTACTTAATATTATATTTCAAGTTTTATATAAATATATATAAATTTATAAATATTATATTTAAATTATATACATACATATACACACATTCATGTAAAAATATATACATACATACATATATATTTTTTGGGGTACTGGGGATTGAACCCAGGGGCACTTAACCATGGAGACACATCCTCAGCACCTTTTTTTTTTTAATGTTTTTTAGTTGTTGATAGACCTTTATTTTATTTGTTTATTTATTTTATATGCAACGCTGAAATTGAACCTAGTGCCTCATACATGCTACTCAAGTGTTCTACCACTGAGCTATAGTCGCAGCCCCTCAGCCCTTTTTAATATTTTATTAGCGAGAGAGTTTCACTGAGTTGCTTAAGGACTTGCTAAGTTGCTGAGGCTGGCTTTCAATTGGAGATCCTCCTGTCTCAGCCTCCAAGCTACTGGGATTATAGGCGTGCACCATTGTGCCCGGCTAAGTTTTGTATATATTTTCATAAATCAGTTTGAATACAATGTTAGTTTTTAAACAATTTTTAAAATCAACTTTGAGTTTAGAGGTTAACTGGCTGGCTTCAAATTATGAATTTGAAGATTTTCATAGTTTTCTAAGGACAGGAATAGTTTAATAACATTTGAGTTAGCAGTTCTTTAAAGGCAAGCAGTTCTTTAAAAGTAAGTCTTGGAATCATCAGATCCCATTGCATACTTTCTTCTTCTTCTTCTTCTTCTTCTTTTTTTTTTTTTAAAGAGAGAGAATTTTTTAATATTTATTTTTTAGTTTTCGGTGGACACAACATCTTTATTTTATTTGTATATGGTGCTGAGGATCGAACCCAGCGCCCCACGCATGCCAGGCAAGCGTGCCACCGCTTGAGCCACATCCCCAGCCCAAATACCTTCTTTATTCTAGTGGATTTTAAAGTACTTTCCCAGCTTTTTATGCTGCAGTAAATAATATTTAGTTCCAGAGCTCTAAGTTTCCTGGCTTGCTTTGGAAAAACTATTAATATCAATTAACATTTGTGCTATATCTTTCTTCTAAGGAGTTCAAATTTCATTATGGCAGTTACAGAAATCAGAATATCAGAATATTAGAGTGGGAAGTAACCTTAACAATAATCGAATTTAACCTTCTCATTTTATAATTGAGTGCACTGGAACATTAATTCTCATATAATTTAGTCTCAGGAAGGCAGCTCATTGGGGACAACTTGATATATAAAAAAGGGTCATGTAAAATATATAGTCAGAAAGTAATATTTGGTTTAGAAAATGCCAAGATCCCTTAGATCCAAGGTTTAGACAAACTGATGAGCCTTTAGCCAGGAATGGAAATAAATCTCTTGACAGATACTTTGCTAGAGATAATCTATCATTAACCTGATTAGTTGCTTTTTAATAAATAATTCTTTTAGTTGCTCCTTTTTTTTTTTTTTTTTGGTACTGGGATTGAACCCAGGGATGCTTAACCACTGAGCCACATCCCCAGTCCTTTTTATTTTTATTTAGAGACAGGGTCTCCCTGAGTTGCTTAGGGCCTTGCTAAATTGCTGAGGCTGACTTTGAACTCACAATCCTCCTGGCTCAGCCTCCTGAGCTGCTGGGATTACAGGCATGTGCCGCCACCATACCTGGTTTAGTAGCACTTATTATGTTGAGACTAACAGGAAGAGATAACTTAGATAACTAAGTTCCTTTAGGTAACTCATCATCACCTAAAAGTGGAACTACTTGGAGCAAGACCATGACCTTCTTTTGTCATATCTTGGACTCTTACACATACAACTTACCAAGTCTTTGTCTAAAGTCCCAGGGACCGATCTGCTTCTTATGCTTACAGTATCTTCTAAGTCTTCTGTAAATGATTCACTCAAATCTAACTCAGATCGACTCCGGTCTGGAGAGAGAAAAAGAAAAAATAAGTATATCTTCTTACTTTGGAGCTAAGTTCTTATTTTTCATTGCAAATGTTTCTTCCTTATTTCAATTCTTTTTAGGCACAGAGCATGGATAGTCATGCTAACAGCCAGAATCAATAACTTCATGCAGTTTATGTTAAAATACTTCCATTTACAATAATCTTCTGCTTTACTCCTAGAATTAAAAAAAATCTCATAGATTGGGTCTTTAAACTTGGAAAATAATAATTAATAATTAATCTTTTAAATTTTGTTTTTCATAGTACAAAACAAAATTGAATCCAGGGGTGTGTAACCACTGAGCCATATAACCAACCCTTTTTAGTTTAATTTTTTTTGTGTGTGTGGGGGTGCTAGGGATTGAACCCAGGGCCTTGTGCATGCAAGGCAAGCACTCTACCAACTGAGCTATTCCCCAGGCCCCTTTTTACTCTTAATTTTGAGATATAGTCTCACTAAGTTGCTTAAGGCCTCATTAAGTTGTTGATGCTGGCCTCGAATTTGCTGTCCTCCTGCCTCAGTCTCCTGAGTAGCTGGTATTACAGGCATGTATCACTGTACCTGGTGAACATTAAGCATTCTTGATTTCAATATTTAGAGAATTTACTGTACTTTCATATTTGACATAAAATACAAGTTGACCAATTTTAAATATCTATTTTCAAATGATATACCAAGTTCCTTTCACATAAAAAGGGAGTGACTACCAATCATTGAAAGGAAGCTCACTAGGCACCAGAACATTCTTCCATCAATAAAAAAATCTTTTTTTTTTTGGGGGGGGTGTGCCAGGGATTGAACTCATGGACACTGTATTTTGTATTTTATTTAGAGACAGATTCTCACTAAGTTGTTTAGCACCTTGCCATTGCTGAGGCTGATTTTGAACTTGCAATGCTCTGACCTCAGCCTCCCAAGCTGCTGGGATTACAGGCGTGCGCCACCATGTCCAGCAACAGATAACTTTTTAACGTTGAAGACTTCATCATGAAATCAGTTCTATATATGGACCTAAACTTCATAATTATGACAAATTTCTCTAGAGTTTCCTTATTCATAGGTAAAAATATTCGCAACATAAATAATACCTGATTCACTGGATTGCTGTAATCATGAACTAAAATGATATGTGCGAATGTGCCATACAAACGAAATGGTTATTATTAATACCTTAATGCAGCTTGCAAATAAACTCCTTCATTAAACCATGCAGTGGTTTATCTGGATATAGGGAACTTTGGTCCACCATATCAGTTGAACGACAATTTCCTTGCACTCTGGGCAAGTGTTATGAATCATAGCAAACATATTCTGGAACCATTTATATTTCCTATACTTCTATACTGATACTCTAATATAGCTCTAAAACTTGAAGATGATGCCTAACAATAGTATGCCCTCAATAAATAGATTTGCACTTGGGACCACCTTCAAGCAGTTCTCACACAGGGAGCCTACTACCATAGGTACAAGAATTGGCAACTGTTTTCTGAGGCAGAAAACATACACATGGTATAACATAAAGCAGCCAATTCCATCTGATTGGGTCATTTTTTTTTTTAACAACAGAGTAGTCATGTTGTAACTACCCACCTGAGGAGAGGGAAGTCCCAGACACTTCAATGGAAGGCGTGCCTGAAGTGTTTCTGCGGTGACTCTTTGTAAGCTCCTCAGAGGTGCTTTCAATGGCAGCCAAACCCATGGAATGTTCAAAACCACGCTCCTTCCCACAAGGTAGAAATGAAGAAAGGAGCATTATACTGACCGCAGTTTAAAATCCCTCTATAGAAATAAACATACTTCAGTATAAACACACTTGTGCATGTTCCTTTTTAAGAGAAGTGAATTGACATTTGAAGGACCTTTGTCAGAAAACCACATGATTCCTAAACTTGCTATCAATAATTGCTATTGAAAATTGATTTCCAGAGATTTATTATTTAACAAAAAAGGTAGTTTGAGTGTTTTAAAATATGGTTAGTACAATGGTAAAGGTAATTTTAAGAATCTGGCAAGTGTTATACCCTCAGAATAGCACTTGGACTTAGAAATGTGTTTGGTCTCATGTTTACCCCACTCTCAACATGCCCTCTCCTCAATCACCTGATATAGTTTGAATTTAGAATGTCTTCTATTCTAAATTGGAGGCTTTGTCCTTAGCTTGATGCCATTGGTAAGTGGTGGAATGCATTTGGATGTGGGGCCGAGTCAGAGGTTTTAGGTTATTGGGTGAGTATCCTTGAAGGGAATTGTGGAATGCTGGTCTATTTCTGTCACTCTCTCAGTTCTTGGGTACCATGTTGTGCTGCCTTACCACAGGCCCAAAAAGAATGTGTCATCCTGACCATGGTCTGAAACCTCCAAAATCGTGAACAAAATTAAACCTTTATTCTTTTGGGGAGGTACTGGGAATTGAATCCAGGGGTGCTTTACCACCACTGAGTTATATACCCAGTCCCTTTTTTTTTATTTTTTTGAGACAGGGTTTTGCTAAATTCCCTAGACTGGCCTCAAAATTGGTGTTCTTTCTGCTTCAGCCTCTCAAGTGTCTGGAATTACAGGCATGTGCCACTGTTTCAGGCAATCTTTCCTCTTTTAACATTGATTTTCCCTAGTATTTGTTAAAGTAATAGAAAGCTAACTAACACCTTATCTCCTCTGTCCTCATTTAATAGGAAACCATGGCACCTTTTGTATCTGGAAGGTTGAGTGATCAGAATATGGCTGGTTATTTCTACATTAGAACTAAAGTTTCATGCATGGTGCTTATCCATGCTCATGACTTTCTTAGCTTATAGGAATAAGTGAGCTGTGTGTGTGTGGAGGGGGTGTAATAAAATAACTATTTTTACATGTGGCAGACTTCAGTCTGAGATGGGCTTTCAAGTAACATATGATAAAGGAAACCTGCATCCCAACTTTGTCCATGCCCATAGAAGCTTGACTACTATATCACCCCAAGCTTGTGTGACTAGTAAAAACAAACAAACAAACAAAAATGTCCCTTTTGTGAATTGAGCTGAAGGTTAAATGTCCATGCTGGTGGTATCATGGTGTGATAATGATCAAATCTGAAAAAGACTTTACAATTCTTCCTTCTGTAAACAATCAAAAATTGCCTTTCAAAGTCTTACAGGATGGGAGTTGATGTAGCTCAGTGATAGAATGCTTTAGTAGCATGTGCTGAGGCCCTGGGTTCAGTCCCCAGTACTTAAATAAATAAATAAATAAATAAATAAATAAATAAATGACTTCTGTCAAAGGTCAAAGTTTTATAGGATGGAATTCCCTTTTTGTTGCCTTCATCTTAGACATTCAGACATACTTAGATAAACTCACTCCATAGAGATATGACTCTCAGTTGCTTAGCATACTAAACAATTCAGCTGCAATAAAGACTGGTCTTAATCTTTCACTGTTTTCCAACAGCTAAGACCTGTAATAGGAAGTTTATAGCTCTTAAGTTCTCTAAATGTCATAGACCAACGTGGTTTGTCAAAAGCATGACAGAGGTCAAATAGACAATTTAGGTTAGTTTTTGACACTGCCTCAAGAAGTTCTTTACATGCAGAGCACTGTAATGAATCAAGACCAAGTTCCTTACAGGCAATTATGATGATGGCAATACTGCTAATATTGAGAACTAATAGGCCAATTAGTATTATACAGTCATTAACATGCAATACGTGCCATGGAATTTCCAGATGTCAAACTTAAAATTAACAGATTACATCATAGCAGAGGACAGTTTAGAGACTATCATGTTGTACAAGTTCTCCACTCAAAAAATTACTTCTTACATGCTAAAACAGAAAAGAACATTGAAACAGAGATTCTAAGAAATAGGAGAAATTGAGAAGATGTGACCTCGCTCACCATTTAACTCTATATACCTCTTCCTTCGTTGTGAAAAAGCAAATGTGCTTCATGAACTGTGATGCTGTCTTATTTTTATTCCACAGGCATTATTTCTCTTTGTCTCTCTTTTTTTTCTTAGAAAACACCAGTTTAGACCAGCTAGAATTCAAGAAATCTACATAGGCACTGCCTATGTATAAGTAAATGGACTGAAGTCAATTGCAGGGAATTTCTGTTGACAGGTGATTTTTAATTTTTTTATTATTATTATTTTGGTATCAGGCATTGACCCAGGGGCGTTTAACCACTCAGCCACATCCCCAGCCCTTTTTATTTTTTATTTTGAGACGGGGTCTCACTAAGTTGTTAGGGCCCCACTAAGTCACTGAGGTTGGCTTTGAACTTGCCATCTTCCTGCCTCAGCCTCCCCAAATGCTGAGATTACAGGTGTGTGCCACCACACTGGCTTGACAGTGATTGTTGCTTCCTAATCATCTGAAAGGGCTGGCCCTTAGGAAGATAATCTATCTTTCTTTTTTTTTTTTTCTGTACTAGGGATTAAATTCAGGGGTGCTTTACCACTGAGCTACCTTCCCAGACCTTTTTAATTTGAGACGGGGTCTTGTTAATCTTCCAGGCTGGCCCCAAATTTGTGATTCTTCTTCTTCAACCTCCCAAATTACCAGAATTATAGATGTGCACCACTGTGCCTGGCCAATAATCCTTATTTTGAGAAAAACGTGATTATTATTATTATTATTATTATTATTTGGTTATTGGACTGATAGGTGCTACCCAGTGGCACAGCTGCACCAGCTGCTAAAATTTTTAAAATACTTTTGTGGTTGCTGAACAGCACTACTCCTCATCTACCTCCCCTTCCCCATGTTTCCCGTTATCCACAGGTCTCCCCATAATCCAGGTTAATGAGTAGCATGGAAGGGACCCCAGGATACTGCCCCAGCCAGTATTTATTCTGATTACTCAGTGTCCCTGCCATACCAGTTACTAAATATTTTGTATATCATTCCTTGTTAGGTCACAAAGAAATAAGCATAATCAACAACTATCTGTGTACTTTTCTGACTACTGAACATAATCAGCTTGCTGAGCTTAGCATAAATGTTTATGAAGTTTAAAATACGCCTTTTATCTTAGCAAGTACAACCTAGACTGTAAGTGTTTAAGCAAATCTATTATTGTTATTAAATCAGTCTGAATGCCTTTTGGCTCTTCCTTAAAAATATTTATAGAATCTGATTGCTCACCGCCTCCACTGTTATTTCTCTTTTACAAAGCCCAGTCTCTTGCCTAGAATATGACAACGGCCTCCCAATTGGTCTCCTGGCTTCCACTCTTGTTGCCCTGCAGTTGCTTCTCAACAGTTCCCAGATCCTGCTTAAACAGAAGGCAGATCCTATCACTCCTCTGCCTCAAACCCTCCAGCTTCCCCCATCTTAACCAGAGTAAATGTCAAAGTACATGCAGTAGTTTTCGGGTCCTATTTGGCCTATGATCTCTTTGAATTCATTTCCTAGTAACTTCCCCTTCATTTACTACTTGGATCCTTCTTGAATGTGCTAGGTGTATAGCCCCTCAGGGTCTTTGCACTTGCTTTTCCTCATGAGGCATTAAAAATATTTTAGAAACTGGTTGAGCCAGGTACAGTGGTGCCCGCCTGTAATCCCAGCAGCTCAGGAGGCTGAGACAGGAGGATGGTGAGTTCAAAGCCAGCTTCATCAAAAGTGAGGTGCTAAGCAACACAGTGAGACCCTGTCTCTAAATAAAATACAAAATAGAGCTGGGGATGTGGCTCAGTGGTCGAGTGTCCCTGAGTTTAATCCCTAGTACCAAGTAAACAAACAAAAGAAACTGATTGAACAAGTCACTGTCCATTCAAGATGGAGGCTAGCTGTAGGTAAGTAAGCTGCTTTCCCCAGGTGCGCCTGCCAAATGTCATCATTGTCTCTGCCTGGAGGACACTTAGATCCGAACATTTTACTTCCTTCAAGTCTTTGCTTGACTGGTGCCTGTCATGTACTAAAACCTCCACTAAATATTGGCTAAGTCAAAGAATTGTGGTTCATATATAATGGTTTCTTATATATACATGCCAGCAATCTATACTGAGTTTATTATTTAATTAAAAAAATATATCAGCTGGTACACGCCTGTAATCCTATCAATTTAGAAGACAGAGGCAGGAGGATCACAAATTCAAGGCCAGCTTCAGCAACATAGCAAGACCCTGCCTCAAAATAAAAATTAAAAAAGACTGGGGCTGTAGCTCAGTGGTAGAGTACCCCTGGGATTCAATCCCCAGTACCAAAATAATTTTAATAAATATAGTAGATGCTAATTCATTCCAAGAAAGACTTCCAACAAAATATTTCATTAAAAATTTTTCTTCCTGTTTTAGTCTGCTTTTTCACTGCTGTGACCAAAACACCTAACAAGAACAATTTAGAGGAGGAAAAGTTTATTTGGGGCTCACAGTTTCAGAGGTCTCAGTCCATAGATGGTCAAGTCCATTGCTCTGGGCACAAGATGGAGCAAAACACCATGGTGGAAGAGGATGGAGGATAGCAGCTCAGGACATGATAATCAGGAATCAGAGAGAACTCTCACTCACCAGAATGGAAATATATACCTCAAGGGCACACCCCCAAGGACCCTCCTCCTCCAGCCACACCCTACCAGCCTATAGTTACTACCCAGTTAGTCTCTGTCAGGAGATTAATGCATTGATTAAGTTAAGGCTCTTATAACCCAATCATTTAATCTCTAAATTTTCTTTCATTGTCTCGCACATGAGCTTTTGGAGGACACCTCAGATCTAAACCATAACACCTTCCAAATACTTTCTCCATCTTCTCCCTTAAAAGAGAAAGGCAACATAAAATGTACTTTACCACATATGTAAAATATTCCATTTAAGCATTCATTATGTGTTGACACCTTATTTTAACGGACACATAGAACACTATAACAACATTTCAAGGTTCTACTTTTCCAGTTGCAAAACAGCCTGGAGAAATTTTAGTGCTGTCCACTTATGAATATTTTATCTGAGAAGAAACATGGAGGATTAAAATCAGAGCCTTCAACACATTCTTTATATTTGTTTAAACCATTCAACAATGTAAATCCCAGCATACAATGCCACCTTTACATCTTGTCTTTCCATTTCTTTTTCACTTTGGGTTTTGGGCCAAAAACTAAGGATGCAGGAGTCTTGGTCCTGGTAAAGAAATTTTTTACCATTAAATGACATAAATGACATGCCTGAGATACAGAGAGGTTAAACCCAGTCATGCCTTAATGGTATAGTCAAGTCCCAGAGGCTGAAGGTCTCTTTACATTTGTGTACTTACTCTGCTGCTGATTGAGGCCACACTTCGAGTGCTTGGGGCTGGTGACCTCTGAGTGACTGGGGTCATACCATTGCTCCAGATGCTCTTTGGGGTCCCAGGTCTGACCTCTTGGTCCATGAGATCTGAAGAACCGATGCTTCCTCTAATGATAAAGCACATTCTGATTTTAACATGGTAGCCAAGCGACAATCAAAGACAAAGGCAGGGGACAGCCTCAAAAACAAAACAAAACAAACAAACAAACAAAAAAATACTTATGAACACATGTGACCTACACTTAGTTCAAAAGAGCCGCACTGGAACTGCTCAGCAACTATCACATCACCCTCCTCCTCAAGACCCTCCAAGGGCTCACTGGGTTTAGCCCCATTTGCCTGACTCCAGGGTCTTTGGAATTGAGCGCCCCCTGAACTTTTTGACTTTACTTCCCAGTTCTTACCAGCATCCTCCCAGCCATTCTACATTCCTGAGTATTCTCTCAATTCATCAAGTTCACTTCTACCTCTAAGGCATTTTCCTTTCTCCCCACCCAATATGCCCCCTGTGTCTGTAAATCTTGTCCATTCCTGGAGGCCAGAGAAGTTCAGCTTTCCTTGTGAGGTCTTTCCTGTCAAGCATAGGCCTTGTTCAACTGTCCTCCCCTTAGTTGCTGCTGACTTTTGGTCTTTGCCGTACCATTTAGTAAGAGATTTGGTCCTGATAAAGAAGTTGTCACCATTAAATGGCATTTAAAACTTCAGAATGTGTTATTTGGTTCCCTAATTGATCCACACTTGTGGGCCTTGGTGTTTCTTTGATCTGTGAGCTCCTTGGGGACAGAGTCTATGTTATATTTACCATGATATCTCCAGCACCTTCATAGTGCCTTGATACAAAGAAGTTACTCAGTACATGTTTTAATCAAAGATCAGAAATTATATTTCATTTCTTTGTTGTTTTAGTGTTTGACCCATGGTGCATATTTAATAAATGTGGTATAAAATAATGATGTTTGCTAAATGGGTTTGAATTACTTTCATGTTTGCTAAAATGATTTAATTTCATTCAATAATGATAAAAGAAAAAATAATTTCTGCCTTCCAGATGATCACAATTTTCTTATTAAAGAGAGCTTCATAAGTAAATGTAGAGTTTCGACAAATCACAATTTAAGTGTTTGTTCTTATTTTATCCATCATTAACCCCCAGTGCACACAAAATATGCTACAAATTATGCTGGGATGTATGCAATATATGCTGAGTTTCATTCTCTTAGTTACTATCTTAATAAGTCATGAAAATAAGTATATTATTGGCAAAGCACACCAGCACTGGTTAACAAGTGATTTTTTTTTTTTTTTTGGCTTACAGTTGAGTCAATCATAGAAACCAGATAGAATAAAGGAAGGATCTTTTTTTTTTTTAAATGTCTGAACTTACATATATCATTACCACAAGATAAATCTGGCAGAATAAAGAATAGGCAATGACCATCAGAGCTGTCAACCACAACTCTGAGTGATTGTTTTTTCCATTCTGGGCACTAGAGAAGCCATAAAAGTCAGATACAACCCGATTAACACTACCATCTTCAATAACTATGCAAAAAGCAGCTACATTTACTGAATATTTTTTAGGTGTTAGCCAGTTTCCATTGCCCAACATCCCTGTAAAAACTGTATTGTCACAGAGCTTGGAAGAAAGTAAAAATAAAAATGTAGCAGTAAAGAAGTTTCTTACCAAGACTCTGAAACACAAGTACCAACCCTGCCAGCCTTTGTAATAAATGCTACTCTTCAAAATTTAAAAATGTTGAGGCTGGGGGCTAGGGTTGTGGCTCAGAGGTAGAGCACTCGCCTGGCATGCATGAAGCACTGGGTTCGATCCTCAGCACCACATAAAAGTAAAATAAAGACATTGTGTTCACCTATAACTAAAAATATATATATTAAAAAATGTTGGGGCTGGGTTGTGGCTCAGTGGCAGAGCACTTGCTTAGCATGTGCGAGGCACTGTGTTTGAGTCTCACCATGGCATATAAATAAATAAATAGTCCATTAACAACTAAAAAATATATTCTAAAAAATGTTAAGAAAATCATTAAAATGTTAAAAGTAAAAAAATTCTATTTTAATGAGTAAACTGAGTCTTGGAGAGGTTAAATAATTATTCCATATATATATGCATACACATGTTTGCATATACACACACCTGTCACCACACTACCATGCTGTCACACAGTACATGACAGTCAGGATAAAAATAGTATTGTCCAGGGGGGATAGTAGGGGATAGGAAAGGTAGCAGAATACAACAATTACTAATAGGGCATTATGTAAAATTGTGGATGTATAACCGACGTGATTCTGCAATCTGCATTTGGGGTAAAATTGGGAGTTCATAACCCACTTCAATCTAATGTATGAAATATGATATGTCAAGAGCTTTGTAATGTTGTGAACAACCAATAAAAAAAATTAAAAATAGTATTGTCCATCCACACAAAGCCTGAGTCCATTCTGGTTTCTCATACTGCTCACGTATCATTTCATCAAGATAAAATCATTTCAACCAGGGGAGTTCTGCAGTAATAGAATAAATGACCAAGAAGAGAATCTGAGGATCAGAGTTAGGGGTTAGTTTCTTGGGATTTGATTAAAATAACTTTGAAAATTTTCTGGCAACATCCCTTTGACATTATGTAGATCTTCAGGCTCCTCTTTCTAGAACTGATATTCTAAATTATAGTGGTATGAACTCAGCTCAGGAGGGACTTGTGATTGTGTTTATTGATCCTGACAATGAGAAAAAAATTTTTTCTGATCCAGTAGATTGTTGTAATTTGGAATTTTAAGTTTCTGGGTGATTTTCCCGAGCCTTCCTACCTCAGGTGTTACACTACTACATTTGACAGTAGCTAGTCATAGTCCTACCTTTCCAAGTGTTTTCTGTTCATCTCAGGAAGGCCTTAGGGGACCTGCCCAGTGCTGTGGTGTGGTGACCATAGGTACTCTACTCTCCGAACTATTATCATAAAAATCTTTCTCCTTATTGTTTTAGGTAAAATAGTTTCAAAAAATAAAGGCTGGGGTGAATAGTGAACAACAGAACCAAGAAATTACAAGCAAAAGGTTTCATGTGGGCATTTCTGTTTGTGTGTGTGCTGAAGATATTCTCAGATCCAGGTGGTTTGGACAAAGTCCCCAGGGTGGATTAGCCCTACTGAAACCAAAACTCCTACTTGTGTAGAAGCTCTGGCAGAAGTTGATTAATTATGGTGATGACATTCAAGAGGCGATCCTGTAATAAGGAAAGAATTCCTGTGATCGTAAGTCAGCTACTGGAAATCATCATGGCCAGAAGCATTATCTCAAAAATGACATGCACTTTCTCATTTGTTCCTGACATTTACTGTGAGCCTCTCAAAAATATTTTCCTTTCAGTTGATTAGACTAAGAAAAAGGTTTAGTCTAATGAAGCAGATCATAAATATTTGGGTGCCAACTCTTTTAGATGTTATATAAAACATGACATAAAATACATGAACCTTTGCCACTTAACTAGAAAGAGGGAAAACAGCATCCTGAAGCCTAAATTAAAGCAGATAAGTTTAAAGACCAATTAAGAAAGAGCTATTTGTGATTCAGATATCATGTTACTGTGATTAAATAAGAAGAATTAGAAATCAGTGCCAACCAACCTTCAAGCTCAATGGGTTAAGGGAAAATGGGCAAGAAAGCGATACATGTATCTTATTCTAACAGGGACCAAGTGAGGGGATGTGACATTGTCTGGGGAGCTTGGTTATCATGGGTTATAGAATGACACATTTTCTAGGTTAGAAAAAAAATCTCATTTCTTCAGGATATAAATAAACTTTTAAAATCCCCCAAATCTTGATAATGACTTTCCAGATGTATCCATTTCTGGATAGAGGATCCAAGGATAAGGGACAAAGACTATAATTTAATGAGTTGCCATTTTGGTTCATATAATGGTTTCCCAGTAATCATAGCCAGGAAAATAATTTCTCAAGAAACAACCTTTCTAGAGTCTAGAAATCCTACCCAAGGACGTTCATAGTCAGTGCCTGACAGGTGTTGGAGTGCAATGGTCTAGCTCTTCCAAACAAAACTCAGGGACATAGTCCATGCTCCAGAGTTCCCCATGGAATCAGGCTGGGTCCTGAGACTTGGACATATCTTAGATAGCACCATTACTTAGTTTCTTCATCTTCTCCATTCTGCCTCTCTTACTCCCTTACTGGTTTTTGTGGATTAATAAAATTAAAATTGGATTAGTAAAATTAATAACTTGCTTGCTTATGAATCCTTGTTTGAGGGTCTGTTTCTGGCAGAGAATGATTGAAGATAGAGACGTCCCAAAATCACAACACCGTGACTACTCATCCCAACTTAGAAGGGACTCAGAATCACTGCATTGAATAGCATTCTCTTTATCAACTATAATTTACAATTATATCCATTTAAAAACTCTCCTTTCTCTCATATGTTCAGTCTCTAGCAACTAGCAATTTGTTATACTCTGAGAGTCTGCTAGGCCTTTCCTAGCCCATTCATATTTTCTCCTGCTTTGAAACCACTGAAAAGAAATAGTCAATTAGACATCTGCTAAAACATCATTTCCACTCTTTTTAGAAAATATTTCTTTAGTGGTAGATGAACACAATACCTTTATTTTATTTTTTATGTGGTGCTGAGGATTGAACCTAGTGCCTTACACGGGGGCAGGTGCTCTACCACTGAGCGCCTCAGTCCCACCTCCACTCTTTTCTGATATACTTTATAAGGTTATTGGGAAGATTGAGATAGCACATGTACATTACTTATAAGAGTGCTGTCCTACTTCAGATAAAGCACTAATTTCCAGGATATATAGAGAGCTCAAAAAAATTAACACACACACAAAAATAACCCAATCAATAAATAGGCTAAGAAACTGAACAGACACTTCACAGAAGAAGAAATACAAATGGTCAACAAATATATGAAAAAAAAAATGCTTAAAATATCTAGCAAATAGAGAAATGCAGACCAAAACTATACTGAGATTCCATCTCACTCCAGTCAGAATGGCTGAATACAAGAATACAAGCAATAATAAATGTTGATAAGGATGTGGGGAAAAAGGCACACTCATACATTGCTGGTGGGACTGCAAATTGGTACAACTCCCCTGGAAAGCAATGTGAGATTCCTCAGAAGACTTGGAATGGAACCATCATTTGACCCAGTTATCCTACTCCTTGGTATATACCCAAAGGACTTAAAATCAGCATACTACAGTGATGCAGCCACATCAGTGTTTATAGCAGCTCAATTCACAACAGCCAAGCTATGGAACCAAACTAGGTGCCCTTCAAACAATAAATGGATAAAGAAAATATTATATATATATATATATATATATATATACACACACACACAATGGAATATTACTCTGCCATATGAAAGAATGAAATGATGGCATTTGCCTGTAAATGGATGGATCTGGACACTGTCATGCTAAGCAAGATAAGCTAATTCCAGAAAAACCAAAGGCTGGATAGTCTTTCTTATATGCAGATGCTAACATACAACAAGGCGGGTGGGAATAGAAGTTCATTGGATTAGACAAAGGGGAATGAAGTGGGGGGATGGGAATAGGAAAGACAGAAATAATCGGACATAACTTTCCTGTGTATATGTACGAATACACGACCAGTGAATCTCCACATCATGTACAACCTCAAGAATGGGATCCTAATTAGAAGAAGTTATATTCCAAGTATGAATAATACGTCAAAATACACTCTACTGTCATGTATACATAATTGAAACATTTTTAAAAGGAGGAAATAAAGAAGAGAACATAATGCATGAATATAAAAATTTAAATAATAAAAGAATATTATGGGGGGAGTAATATCCAAGCTCATCTGCTCCAGGAAAAGACGAATGAACCATGAAGAAATGTGCATTGTGGAGGAGAAAGGAGAATAATTCTCAAACTAAGTCAGGTAATAGCCCAAAGAAAGGGGGAGCTCACAATCTCTTTAGATGATGGGAATTAAGAAAAGATGGGACATCTCCTGCCTCAACTTTCTTAGGAATCATTTTGGGGATAATGGAACACATCTCTTGCTGTGGCGGTCCATTAATGAGTCATTATGGTGATAAATACATGTTCCAGGAAAAGGACATTTTGCTTTATTGATCTCCAGAGCACTTCTATTCTTTCTTAATAGGAAAATATTGTTCTTAGCATGCTTACGCCAAAGCAATCCTGACTACTACATTCCAATTATCTGTAAACCATTTCAGGTACTTACAATTTTAAAAATAGTTTACTTAGGGACCTTCTCCATTTCATAATAAGAAGTCTCCATGTACATTTACAAGGTTTGTAATCTTACACAAGACACCCAACTTCTCTATGTCTTTTTCCTTGTCTGTAAAGAGAGATTAAAATACACTGCACAAGATTGTCTAGGGCTTTGTTTCTCAAACTAATAAAGAACTAGTTTTTTGGCCAAGCACATGCCTGTAATCCCAGGAGCTCAGGAAGCTAAGACGGTAGGATCCTGAGTTCAAAGCCAGCCTCTGCAATTCAGTGAGGCCCTAAGCAACTAAATACAAAAAAGGGCTGGGGATGTAGCTCAATGGCTGAGTGTGGTTCAATCCCTGATACCAACAAAACAAAACAAAAAACTACTTTTTTATCAAAAAAGAACAAGAACTCCCCATGTCAATACCCCAGTATTTTGTGAAACATGTCCATATGACTTTATAGCTTAGATTATTTATACTTAGCAGTAGATAAGACACAAGGAGTAAACCTGGGCAGATAGATTCTAAAATAAATATAAACAGTGTGATATTGGGGAATATTCTTATTTTTGTTCAGTAACTGTAAGACAAATAACTTAAAATGGCATGATCTAATTTTTTGGTAGGTCTGGAGCCTTTCTTTTTCAATAAGTAACTCTGTCTTGCCAGGTGAGGTGGTGCAAACCTGTAATCCTAGCAGCTGGGGAGGCTGAAGCAGGAGGACTGTGAGTTCAAAGCCAGCCTCAGCAAAAGCAAGGCACTAAGCAACTCAGTGAAACCCTGTCTCAAAATAGGGCTGGAGATGTGGCTTAGTGGTCAAGTGCCCCTGAGTTCAATCCCAGGTACCCCCCAACACACACCAAAAAAGGAACTGTTTTTCCACTTTTGATATAGTGTTCTTCTTAAACACTAGTCCCAAAGAATAAGCCAAGATGGCTCAACCCCAGAGGACTGAGGAAAATGAGCAACACTTACCTTAGCTGCATATCATTACTAAGTATTTTATATATACTGCGGATTGAATCTCAAGGGCGTTTTACCACTGAATTACATACTCAGTACTTTTTCTTTTTTTTATTTTGTGACAGGGTCTCACTAAGTTGCCAAGACTGTCATCTCTAAATAATTTTGAATACTACTACCTCAGAGATCAGGAGTCCAACAAGCAAAAACAAAAATTGAGATTTTTATAGCAGGATTTTATGGGTGACAGTATGGGGCTTTCCTAAAGGAAGACAAATGAAATTATTTCAAGGGCAAAACCAACTGTAATTTACATTTTTTAATCGTAAAAGGAATTTATATAGATTCTTAAATATTTGGAAAATATTGAATAGTGATGATCCTTTGACAGTGGATGAAAATGACTTATTCTGTTTTTATAAGGATTTTTTTCTGTATGGATTTACATAAAAAGATACCTGCTTGCAAGAATGCTATAGGGAAAAAAGAAATAGGTATGAAGAGTCATCATGGGGAAAAAAAAAAAAAACAATAGTGAAAAGAGGGTATCTTCTAGGGAAATACTCTGGTCTATATTCTAAAATGATCACAGTGAACTGAGCCCTGGGTTTGATGATTAACACCACAAGAAACAAACAAAAAAAGATTAGGATTATAGGGAGAATGTAATTCTGTTTGCAGAACCTAAGGAGAAAAGAATGTCTGCCAGTTTTACTGCCTGGCTTAGCAAAATTACTGCAGCCCCAAGTAAAGAAAAGGGAATTAACATAGGGGTGTGCCGGGCACGGTGGTGCACACAGCAGCTCAGGAGGCTGAGGCAGGAGGAACGCGAGTTCAAAGCCAGCCTCAGCAATGGTGAGGTGCTAAGCAACTCAGTGAGACCCTGTCTCTAAATAAAATACAAAATAGGGCTGGGGATGGGGCTCAGTGCCACATCTGAGTTCAATCCCTAGTAACAAAAACAAAAAACAAAAAACAAAACTAAGGGTGGCTCTTTTTTCTCATCTCTAGCTTTGATATCACACTAATAGTGAAAATAAGCCTTGACTTATGTTTCCACAGGATTGAAAAAATCAAATCTGATGAGAAGTGACAATGCTCTAAGCTGTCCTACTTTTTGTTACTTTTTCTGACAAGTGATAGCTTGTGCACAGGAGAATCTCACTTGGCCCTTCTGACAATCAGTTGGAGGAAGTGGAATTTAGGGAACAATGCCTGAGGCAATCCAAATGATAAAATTATTAATATTTTTATATGTTGCAGGAATGCATATGACACTTAAAGTTTTCTATTGCAGAAGCTTCAATACAAAAAGATCAAGCAATTAAATGAAAAGGGGAAAAGGTACACTCTTACATTGTCGGTAGGAATGCAAATTGGTGCAACCCCTCTGGAAAGCAATGTGGAGATTCCTCAGGAAACTTGAAATGGAACCACCATTTGACCCAGTTATTCTAGTCCTCGGCATATACCCAAAGGACTTAAAAATCAGCATACTACAGTGATGTAGCCACATTAATGTTTATAGCAGCTCAATTCATAATAGCCAAGCACCTAGGAACCAACCTAGTGCTCTTCAACAGATGAATGGATAAAGAAATTGTGGTAAATATATACAATGGAATATTATTCTGCCATAAAAAGAATGAAATTATAGCATTTGCTTGTAAATAGATAGAACTGGAGACTATCATGCTAAGTGAGACAAACCAATCCCAAAAAACCAAAGGCTGAATGATCTCTCCAATATTCAGAAGCTAACACACAATAAAGGGAGGTGGAGAATAAAAGTTTATTGGATTAGACCAAGGGGAAAGAAGGGAGGAGAGGGGGATGGGAATAGGGAAGGCAGTAAAAGAATTGGACAGAACTTTCCTCTGTTCATATAGGAATACACGACCAGTGAAACTCCACATCATGCACAACCACAAGAATTAAATCCTAATTAGAATAGTTATTCTCTGTGTATGTATGTTAAAGTACACTCATCTGTCATAAATATCTAAAAACAAAAAAATCAAAAAGAAAAAGAACATATTTGACCTGTACATCTCCATTTGAACTACAGTCCTGAGTCCCTAAACAGACACTTGTATCCCTGCTGGTGACACAGACAATTCCAACAGCTCTAAGTCCATGAGGAAGGTAAATGCTTTCTTTTTCAACTAAAAAATATCCTCCTGACTTTCTGTATTATGTATTGGTTCTCTAAGTGGAGATACTTTACAGATAGCCAGAAGTCCTGTTTGGATGGAAATTCATCAATCTCATCCCCAAGCTACCTGATTGTCAATGGTATGTGTCTTACCTGTCTGAACCAGGGGCTGACTTTAAACTGCGAAAATTTTGGCTGTCGAAATCCAAGCTGTAGCTCCGCCCACTTTCAATTTTTGGAGTTACGATTTCTCCTCTGGTTGCTGATCTGAACTTGCTAAGTAGAAATCTGAAATTATATATATTTGTAGGTATTTAAAAGTAAGATTAAAAAGTATTTAAAGATATTTCAAGAATATAATTCTTACTAAATTATGTTATGTGCATGTATAAATACATCCCAATGATCCCCACTATTATGTGTATTATAATGCATTAATAAAAACATAATACAAAGAATAAAATTCCTAGTACTTTGTATTTTTGGAGGGGCAAGGTACCAGGCACTGAACTCAGGGGCACTTGGCCACTAAGCCACATCCCTAGCCCTATTTTGTATTTTATTTAGAGATAGAGTCTCACTGAGTTGCTTAGCACCTCACTAAATTGCTGAGGCTGGCTTTGAACACGAGATCCTCCTGCCTCAGCCTCTGGAGTTGCTGGGATTACAGGCATGCTCCCCCACACCTGGCTTCCTAGTACTTTGAATAATAAATAGTTCTTCATTAAAGAAGCCCTGGGCCTCAGGCATTCTGGGGAGTCCCAGTACTTGCGCAGTATAGTGTCACTGGTGGTAAGGTAGAAGGGTGTGATATTCTCCCAGGATCATACTACCTGCTGGTAAGCCAGGACTCTGTCCCTGCTAAGCAAAAGACCACCTATATAGGGAACTCAGCACTATAACCTGGGGAGGGAAAGTATCACTTGGCCTGGGCATATTTGCAGAATAGATTGCTCACACTCACGTGGCTCAGAGAGGGGGCTAATTCTTTGAGACAAACTGAGGTAGCAACTTGTTAGACTGCATCTCCAAGATAGCAGTGACTGCCTTTCTCATTCCCTACCACTTTCTCTGAGCCTAGAATGATACGTGGCACATATTAGAACCAATCAATTCTTGTGGAATGAGTGACTAAACTCATGTGGTGGAAGCCATCTATATCCTCCATGACATTTCTTCCTGTGATAACAAAGTTTGAATAATGGAGTGCCTCATGTTAGATGAACACTTATTGAATTTCCATTTTACTAAATTATTTGAAACTTAAACAGAAATAGCTTTTCAGGAACCCTGATTCAAACACTGATATTACAGAGGGCCCCAAACATGGCAGTTTCCAAGAGCAATTTAATAATAATAATAAAAGGCTATAATATTCTTTTGGGGGATGGCATTGGGAAAGACCAGTTAACTTACTTTACATTCAACAGTTTTCTAGGGGAAAAGTGGATTCCAAAGGTACTGGCAGGATCTTAATAGAATCTGCTAAGTTGTCTCTGCTTCAAAGAACCCCAGAAGTGTCACTGTCAATTGTCAGAAGCTTCAATCTACTGGAAAATTGATTTTTTTTTTTGGTGAAAATGGCACTAATATAATGTCAGTTTATGCTGCTCTGAGAACCAACTCGTGCATATCTCCACCTGTGCACCTCTATTTAATGTCTCCTCTGCTGGAAATCATTCTTCCTCCCTTTTGATATCCTGAGCTCTATCCATCTGTCAAGGTCCACATGTTTTTTTGTTGTTGTTTTTAAATTTTATTTATTTATTCATTTTAGTTCTTATGGACCTTTATTTTATTATATGTGGTGCTGAGAATCGAACCCAGTGCCTCACATATTCGAGGCAAGTGCTCTGCCACTAAGCTACAACCCCATGCCCCAAATTTTTTGCAGGGGGTATTACTGGGGATTGAACTCAGGGGCATTCGACCACTGAGCCCCTCCCCAGCCCTATTTTGCATTTTATTTAGAGAAAGGGTCTCACTGAGTTGCTTAGCACCTCGCCATTGCTGAGGCTGGCTTTGAACTCGAGATCTTCCTGCCTCAGCCTCCCAAGCCACTGGGATTACAAGAATGTGCCACTGCACCTGGCTACAATTTGATGTCTTTCTTGATAGCTCCCATTACCCCATCAAGCAGGAATTTATTATTTAGCTACTCACTTAATACTGAGTAAGTGATAGCCTTATGACATCTCTTGGGATTTATTAACACTCTGCCTTGTTTAGAGAAGCTTTTGGCAACTCATATTGCTATTTTATATTTTCCTGCGATTCTTTTTATACTTATTATTATTATTTTGGGTACCAGGGATTGAACCCAGGGGTACTTGACCACTGAGCCAATTCCCAGCCCTATTTTGTATTTTATTTAGAAATAGGGTCTACCGGGTTGCTTTTGCTGAGGCTGGTTTTGAACTCATCATTCTCCTGCCTCAGCCTCCTGAGCTGCTGGGATTACAGGCATGTGCCACTGTGCCCAGCTCTTTTAGACTTATTAACTTTTCTTTCCCAACTGGATGTCAAATTCTTTTTTTTTCTAATCCTCTTAATGGGGATTGAACCCAGGGTTGCTCTACTACTGAGCTACGTACATCCCCAGCCCTTTTTACTTTTTATTTTTAGTATTTATTTATTTATTTATTTATGTGCTGGGGATTGAACTCAGGGTCACTCAACCACTGAACCACATCCCCAGCCCTATTTTATTTAGAGACAGGACCTCAATTGATTGGTTTAGCGCCTCGCTTTTGCTGAGGCTGGCTTTGAACTCATGATGCTCCTGCCTCAGCCTCTTGTGCTGCTGGGATTACAGGCGTGCACCACCACACCAGGATTAGTTTTTATTTTGAGACATGGTCTCACTAAGTTGTCTAGGCTGGCCTAGAACTTGCAACCTTTCTGCCTCAATCTCCTGAGTTGCTGGGATTCCAGATGTATGCCACCAAACTAAATAGATGTTATATCCTTTGAGGACCAAGAACCATGGATGCCAGTTTTCAGTTTCAGCAGGGCCCAGCTGAGAGTCATGAATGAGTCAGGATTTGCATAATTCATTGTGTTGGTGGGTTACTTACTGTCAGTAAGTAACTCTACTTAACTCTGCAACCTAATCTGTGATGCTTGGGCTGGGATCTGCAAACGGTAGCTCCTAGCAGCATTTGGGGGCTCTGAATCACATATTCAATCAACCACTGATTGTTTTTCAGGAATCAGGCACTATGCTAGATATTGCAACACAAAAGCAAAGAAGCCACTGGTCTAGCACTGAAACAGCTTACAATTAAGAGTGGGAATGGGAAAGTCAGAGTGTAATGGAAAGAGTGACGCATAGGCCCAAGGCATTGTGGGAGTCCTGAGATGAGATAAATAGATTCAATGTGAGATGAAGGATTGATACCTGGGATAGGATATTTGGGAGACTTTGGATTTTCTTTCCCATTCATCTCTGCTAAGTAATGAAGATGTGGTTAATCAAGAGTGTTTGAGTTAGATGACATTTAGAGTTCAATCCCACTCAGAGTTCAGGATTCTAAAAAAAAAAAAAAAAATCCCAGACTTGTTTTTAGAGCCAGATAAAGGCTGAGACACTGTCAGCATTTCAGGCTGCCTTCTGCTGAGAAAATAAAGCAATGGTACCTGGAAAGGATCATAACGTGACTTGGCACATATTAGAACTCTTTCTACTTTGGCCACAAAACTGTCCAATAGCTGCCTCAGAAACAAAGACTACACAGTACAGAGCTGAGACAGAGCAATTTGCCTTTTGATCCTCAGAGTCTTCATGGGGCCAGCTCTTCTAGATGAATTCTCTTGCCCCCAGGTCGCCTGTGCCTTCTGGCATCTTGCTGCCCTGTGTATCTCCCATTGCTGTGTTTAGTACTTGACACATGTATTTGTTTTCTGAATTCAGCTGAGGTGGCTAAATGTTGTTGTTTTTTTCTCCTTAAAGAAGCCTGAATTTTAAACAGGGGATAAAATGTGTGAAGCTCAAATAAGATATCTCTGCTTTGAGTGTATCAGTGCTCAGGTTGGTGGGGAGGAGCATCCTACAACAAAGGTAGTCGTCACCTGTTTATAGACAATACTCTTCCTGCCATAAAACCTTCTACCTAGAAGTAATGGGAGCAGATATGTGAAAAGAAAGAACTCATACATGCTTTATTTACCAAAAGTGGAAAGTAGTTAAAAATGCATTTCCTGAGAAGAATGCTAAGAAACTATTACTTCAGTTGAGTCTGTGGCCCTCCTCAGGGTCACTGAAGCGATAACAGACTTGAAAAACAAAGGAGTCTTTATTTCAGAGATGACTGAAATAAAAATTCAATTTTCCCTTCAATAAGCTGTTTCTTACCCCTTTCTCTTGGGCCCATCATGGCTGGCTTTCCGCCCAACAGAAGGCGAAGTGTCTGATTTCTCCACATCCTGGCGGGTTTGTTCTTGGCTTCGTACTTCTTCAGATCCTCATTAAAAACAATCAGAAGACAAGTTTACACACAAAATGGCCAGAGATGAGAGCAAATTTCTTTTTTTCTTCTTTTAAAATATTTGAGATTTTTTTTCTTTTCTTTTCTTTTCTTTCCTTTCCCTTTCTCTCTCTCTCTCTCTCTCTCTCTCTCTCTCTCTCTCTCTCT